GGCGTTTGGATAACACAACCCAAAACTCATCGAGCCAAACGCAATACTGATGTTTCTTTTGAGGGCATTGCAGCAGGGGGAGGCCAAAAGTGGAAAAATGATGAGTGGCCAGCAGAGAGAATCATTCAGTACTATGGTCCAGCAACTTGGGAGCCAAACGTGGTTGGGAGAGAGCCCACATATTTGACAAATCGAATTATTAGACTCCAGGCCGTAGTAGAAATTGTTACCGATAAAACTGCCGCAGCCCTGCATCTGATTGGCAACCAGCTCACTCAACTACGTACTACGGTACTGCAAAACCGCTTAGCTCTTGACTACTTACTTGCAAGTGAGGGAGGGGTGTGCAGGAAGTTGAATTTATCAAACTGTTGTGTTGAAATTGATGATAATGGTGAATTGATAAAGGCCTTAGCAGATGAAATGGAGGAGGTAGCACATGTCCCAGTCCAAACTTGGAACGGGTGGAATTTTGATTGGTTTACATCCTGGCTCCCTAATTTTGGATGGTTAAGGGGAGCATTCTTAATCTTTTGTCTGCTAATGTTGATACTTTGTTTGATTCCCTGTATTATGCCCTACATCATGGCCCTCGTGAGACGAACAGTACAGTCAGTCGTCAACCGAGAGATGTTTGTGCATTATCAGAAGTTAGCCATACCTGAAAATTATTAAAATTAGAGTTAGAGAGCATCTTGAGGGGGGGATAATTGTGGTAAAAATATAGCATAATCTATATTTTCCTGCTTTTATAATTGCTTTTGCATATTATCACAATTGCTTTTGCTAAGGCATATATGCTAATGATAGATTTACGAGTAGCACAAAAACTTCTGCAGACAGAGCCAGGAACAGATGCAATAAATAACTCCTTACGAGAGATAAGAGAAGAGGGGCAGGGAAAGATGCTGATGTGGAGAGACCAGACCCTGACCGAAGGATGACCGCGAGGGGCTTAAAAACTGCCCCTGGGAGGGGATTTAAGATGTAAATGAGACATGTATGTAAACTGTCATAGAACATGTAACTGCTAGACATATGATGCAAGACGTAATGCTAAGTCTGCCAATAATTGCACGATACGTTGAAATCTATTGTTTACCTTGGCTATAAAAAGAAGTTTCAGACCCAGTTTGTCGTCGACCCTGATTTGAGTGGCTCAACTCCTGGGTCGATCTGTTTGCAAACAATAAATCTGAAATTGGACCTAGCCTGTGTGTGTGACTCTCTCCTGGGGTGGATTGGACAAGCCTCCAGGGGCACGAAACTAGCCGTTTGTGCAACAATTGTTTAGGGAATGCAACACCACAGATTTGAAATCAGGAGTGTTACAGTTAGTTGGTTGTCCTTGGGGTGGATTAGGAATAACTCCTGAGTATTTGCCTAACAATTTTTTCTTATCCAGGAAAAATTTGGGGTGACCTTCAGGTTTTTGTTTTTCAGAATTCAACTTGTTATCCCCTGGGCAGAAATACTGAATAAGTCCCTTTAAAGTTTCTGCATATTCTGGGTTCACCCCAAATTTAAGTTTATTAGGGACGCCAGTTATTTGGCCACCAAAATGGTCCCTGCCTTAAATCCAATAAAAACATTGTCCTGGATATCAGACCACACAAGAGATGTGTGTGATCACAGTAGCCTTAAGATTTAAATTTGACCCCTCTCTATTTCCAGTGCCAAAGTATCCTGATTATTGGCAGCTAAATCTGTCCACAATTCCCAGTTGGATTCCAGCTGGTCAAATTAATGTGTTCCTAAAAATAAATACAAATTCCTCTCAACCTAACCTTGCGTGGGGAATTGATACCCTACAGGCTAGGCACACTGTAACCCACAGTTCAAGGAATGCCACCTTTGTACTATCTTTTTCAGTACATAGTCCTGATAGTGTTGCAGCAGCCTACCTGAACAGAAGGGGAAGAGCTGCCTGGCAGAGACAGAGTTTGTCCCCGAGGGGACACTGTAGGCTCTGAGGGCAAGTGAAGCTGTTTGGGAGCAGCCCTGTTGGAAGTGGGAGGGGTGATGTAACCCCAGACAGTTTTGAAAGAGAGCCCTTAGCAAAAGCCCGGGAAGGGCCCTGAGCTGGGACTGGCTGAGAGGCTTGGATAAAAGGGGGAGCAGTTTTTCC